TCATATATGTTTATTATGTATATTTTTGCGCAATCAACAAAAGCAAGTGTTCCGATACTTTTGTCCAGGTACTGTATTTTCGAAAAAAAGTAACTTTGGCATTAGTTTGGGCTTTTCAATATATTTTTACATGAAAAAACTATATAAATCAACCTATTTAAAATTATTTCGCTCAATTTTTTCGGCTACGTACTAATAAAAAATTAATTTAAGCCCAGAATTTTTTGGCAATTTCGGCTACTAAGAGAGAGGTAGTCTCGATCGGACATCTGATATGAAATATCAACTTAGTGATAGATGCCAAGCAAGACTACTACCAATTCAACAAAACTCCCATGAAAGTATATATTAAAATAATTTTGAATTGATTCGCTCAGAAGCCAGGATGATTTCTATCACAAAAATAAAAAAAGGAATAAAAAAAAAATCTCCAAAAATCGATAATAAATAGTTAAAAAACAAATGATTTGGAATTAATTAATTCGAGTATTTGAAATAATTTTACTCGAACCAAACGAATAATTTGAATATTATCTCCATCCAGGAAGTTTTAAAAAGGTAAAAATATCTTTTTGTAATTCATTAATTGAAAGAATTTTTCTTTGATTATTTAGACGAGTGGTCTTTTGTTTTGGAACTCGCGAGTAGAAGTAACCTATTTGAGTTGGTCATTGCCATATTGAGATACATTCTAAATAACAAAACCTATATAGAAAAATCGCTTTTCCTTTCCTCTATTTAGTCCGAGTGATCCTTTAGTTCGATCAACTTGTTCTTTTTCTTTTTCGTACCGCTTGTTGAAGTATCATTGTATTGGTTTTCATGATTTTGTTTAAAGACACATAAATCCCGAATTTTAAATTAGGTGTCTTTATATGTGACAAGTTGACGATATTCCATCATTACAGATATTTAACTTTATAGAAAATTTGTTAAAATATATAACGGAAATGATATTGAATTTGTAATGAATAAATGATATATAATATATAACACGGTATTGAGACATAATAGTTTGAAACAAATTCGTTCATGTTAGTTACCAAGCGAGAATGAATACAAACTGGAAATAAAACATTCTGTAGCAAAGATAAACACTGTAGTTCGCACGCTTTTCGTTATTTATTAAAATATTTAATTTTTTTCTTGTTTTCGTCAGAATGACCCTAGTTGTAATAATGAATGACATGTCATTTAAAATTAATATTGTTTATTTATGCCACTAAGATATACCTATTTAATAAACCCTGGGTAGTACGGGTATTTTACAAAGTAAAATTGAGCTTAAACTTGTATTATCCCAGTGGTTTAACTATTAAAAATAGACTATCATAAAATTTAACTGAGCTTGAATTTTTCTAGTGGGTATAAGTACGAACTGAAAAATGGTTTAATGAGGTTACACGGGGGATAATATACATGCAACTGCTAGAAAATCTTCATGTTGCTATTCTTTTTATATTTCTTTGAAGGGATTCGTTATATTTCAATCCAATCTTTATAAAAATTGTACACGTATTATTATTATTATTATTATTATTATTATTATTGATCCATCAATTCAAGATCTCCAGAACGTCTATTCCAAATATTCAAACAAATGATGTTTTTTCAGGGCAATCAGGGAATAATCTTTACCAAAATATAATAATATTTTACGTGAAATGCTTAATTTTTTTTTTAATAATCACTTAACAATTAACTGTGAATAATCAAAAATCTTTATACAAGAAAAAAATTTTTTTTCAATCTTATTTGTAAGAAATAAAATTAAAAAAAAAAACATAAATAAATAAATACATAAAAATACATAATAAAAATTCTTTATACAAGAAGAAAAAATTGTCTTACTTTTAAATAAAATTTAAAAATAATTATGATTAAATTAAAATTAAAAAAAAATATATTATTTTTGCTCAATTTTCTCATATCATAATAATCATTAAGTAGTTATATTTGCAAATATTACAAATAATACAAATACAATATAAATATAAATGTAAATTACTAATTTTCAAGTTATATTTATATTATTTTTTAATGACTTGGAAGACTTCATATTCTATTACCCAGAATTTACTTAAAGTAGTAACTCTATCTAGATAATCATCTTTATCAGAAGAACAACTATCATATCCATTGAAATTATTTTTCATCCAGAGATCTTTATCACCAAAACAAGGTCCATGAGACTTATCTTTAATTCTGATGGCGTAATTACATCTTGTAACTCTGCTGACTTTACCATCAGCCAAGTTTCCTTGTTTTGGGAATGAGAAAAGAAAACTGTTTTGTGTTGTCAATCTACTATCACCAATTGACCATTCCAATGGATTATATCCTCCAACCAATTCACCAGAATATGCAATCTGCATCACAACAACTGTTGGTCCTTTGTGATCACATTTCTCATGAAACACCTCACTATCGAATCCATCCAATGATCCCCTAACTAATAATTTGAATTTGTATGGGATTTCATTATATGTGTAACCTTTACCATCCTTACGATCTATCCAATCCACTAATCTTGCAACTTGTTCAGCCTTTAGAAGCGTTGAATCAAAATGGAGAGATCTTGGTGGCAGGATTTTTGTGTTGGGGATAAGTTTGGATATTGAGCTAACGGAAAAATTTGGCAAACAGGAACGTTTAAAATGAAATTTTAAAATATCATCAAATAAATTTTTTGGTAGGATTTGACTAAACGGCAAGATATTGTCATGAAAATCATTTGCTGTAATTTGGAAAAATCTGATCAATGGTATACAATTATGTAATAATCTTTCCAACTCCATAAATTCTTTTTTGTCCCAATTAGAAATATCAACTTGTTTATCATCCATAATAATATCTTGTTGCTCGTACCCTCCTTTCTTTTCCTCCTCGCCATCTTTTTCTACCATGACCATCTCTTCCTTATCTTCTATATCCATTGTTCCCATTTTTCCATTAATATCATCAACGTCAGATTTTAATGAAGAGAGATTAGCAACAGCAGATGATGACATTTGTGAAACACCCCATTTGATCAAATAGTTCCAAATTTCTATTTCTTCAATTTGTAAATTATCTCTTTCCAACAAAGGAATTAATAACGTTTCATCAAATGAATAAAATTCTTTGGATTTAAAGAGTATCAAAGGATTTTTACATATGATTTCCAAACAAAAATTCTTTAGTCTATTGCAGTTTTCGTTGGAATGGATTGCACGATGAACATGAACAACATTTTTTTTTACCCATTCAGTTTTTGAATCCAATAAATAATGTTGTACATGATCAAACAATTCCTCCAATAACAATTCATCTGCTGTAATAAGCAAATCAAGTATATCCATATTATCTTGTCCGCTTAAATCAATCCTTCCACTATAAACATATCTATAAATCAAAAAAAAAAAAAAATTTTTTTTACAAGTTAATAATAATAATATATAAAAATCAAATTATAAAAATTTTCAATTAATCAATTAGTCTGATTCTTACCTAAGAATAAGATCAAACACAATTGGTGTAGTGTTGGGTTTAATGAAAACGATTGAGTTTCCTTCTTTCCTTGCCCAATCACTACTTAAAGCTGTATGGAAATAAGGCGATCTTGTTCTTAAAACGACAGAATGAGCGTAGAAAGTTTTTTCATTATGTTCATCTCCTGCTCTAATGATAACATTGAAATCATCCGAATTTTCAAGAAGTTGACTGAAATCTTTGGAAAGACTTTGAAAAAATTCAGTCATGATGAAGAAGGTATTGTCGTTATCGTTGATTGATTTATCGATTTTACTTGATTGATTGATTGATTGATTGATTGATTTATTTATTTGTTGAATTATTGAATTGACTAGGATTTCTAGATGGGTAGAAATAATTAAAGAATTCGTCCGATCAAAAAGAATAATAATTATAAACCAGTACGGTTGGAAACAAAAAAATGGTGTTGATGATTAATGTTGCAGTAGTTGTAGTAGTTTGTTTGTAGGTTAATTAACAAGTAGGTTAAATTTATATGTTTGCAGAGTTTTTTTTCCAGGGAAAAAAATATTAAAGGATCGAATTGTTAAATGATATATTATTTTAGAAAGTTGGTTACTAAGATAAAAAATAGAAATGGTGGTGAGAGAGAAGATTATTATTAAAGAAAAAAAAAAAAGATTTTCAAATTCTTTTATATAAATGATTAATAATGCAACTGATGTTTTTGTAATACGATAATTAATATATTAAGTATCGAGTTTAGCTTCTTTTGTTTTACAAACAATGTTTATTTATTTATTTACTGCATAAATTTTATAAATTTTTTGTTTATTGTTAGGTGAAAATTTTAAATATTATTTATTATTATTATTTATTATTATTAATAATTAATTATATTTAAAAATAGTTTTTTCTTAAATACTTTTATTGGGAACTTTGAAAATTACCACTAATACTAAGATAACATACAAGATTGCAGTTGGATCATTGTCGTTTATCAGGTTTTATTCCGCTTTGTGGTTTATTTTCTAAAAAAAAAAAAGATCCAATGAATTAAAAGAAATTGAAAATATCTTAAAGTTTATTATTTATTTACGAGAAGCTTATCTGAAGATTTAATGTCATAGAACTTTACTACCGATTAAAACACCGTCAGCACAATAACTCCTGAAATAATGTTTATCCCTGTTGCTTCCGATCTTTTTTAGACACAATTGTTTCATTACCTCTCTTTCTTTTCTCCATCTCCAATCATAATAATGAATTCACCCTCCTCGATTTTAGAATTTGACTTTTAATCCCCGATGGTTTCTCAACAGCTGCTACTTGTTTGCGTGATTTGTGATTTGTGAGGAGATAGTCTTTTTTTCCCCATCATAATCCTCAACTTCATATTTCCCGTTAGATTAAGCCATCATCTGCATCATAATAAATTTCAACATCGTAAGCATTTGTCCATTTGTTTCAATCTCATCATCATAATAAACCGGTTCCATTTTATATATACATATGTGGCAATGATTCTCAGGAAAAGGGACACAAGAATTTGCAAATTTATTATTATTATTATGAAAAGATAAAATGAGTTATTGAATTAGTAATTTTGATGTATATATTAAGATAATTTATAATCTTTATTGGAATTTTATATAACTTATTATATTACTAATTCAAGAAATAAAAAAGAATTTTCTATATTTAGAAAAAAAAAATCTATTTTTAAAAAATATTTTTTCATTGTTATTAAAAAAAAAATTAAATAAACTAAAACCGATTTAATTTAAACAAAGTTGTTACATATAGCATATTAGCAGCATCAATGGACAGAGAGAGACTTTTGTATTGAAATATATAATAATAACACACAGCGAGTCTTGATTTATCAGATGCTTAATTATAATAATAATAAAAGTCCCGATTTCAACGGATCGAGATCTAGTAAATTTTTTCGATATAATCAGATTCAATAATTAAATCTCGGTACAATGAATAGGTTTCCCATATTATGCTAAATCGCACACTTAAATAAAATTAAAAAAAACTAATTAGTAGAGAACTTTAGAGGATATATTTATAGGGTTGGGTTAAATGATATATAAAGTAGGCGAAACAAGAGAATGTAAGAATTTTTAATGCTTGGGAATTTGGAAATGAAATGAATTCGTCCGGCAATGCCGAATGTAAATTTTTTGTTGAGTTCAGTAGTAATTTCGTTTATAATAAATAAAGTGAATAATAATATAATATGTTATTAAATTAATTGGTTTTATTACATTTTCAGGCATTTAATTAATTATTGTAAAATTTAATTGTTTGGTTGCCATGGCACGACTAAATTCCTAGGTAATAAATAATTTTATTGGAAATGCCAGAAGGTTATGAAAGACAGTGTATCTAAAAGACCAACCATGCAATTTTTCTGGTGGAAATTATTTAACAATAATTTATAAAAATGATATTTCAAGTAATGGTGGTGGTGATAATGCCAATAACAATGATAATGAGGATGATAATGATGATGACAACAATAATAAAATCGTTACCAACAACAACAATAAATTAAAGATAATAATTTACAATGATGATAAAAAAAATATGATCAGCATATCATACAAGTAGAATATCAACCTTAAATCAAAATGGCATTAATAGTTGTGATACTCCATTATGGAACTTCAGTATGTAAACCTATAATCCATCTGTTCCAAATTAGCGTAAGATATTGAGATTTATTTGTGTTTTTAGAATATTAAAAAATTTTTTAATGATAGTGGTTGATAATATAATATTTTTATAAATTATATTATATTATATTATTTTATTTATATATTATATATATATATATATATACGATATACGTTTTTATGTCCAAATGATGATGTCGTTATAATAGGAAAAAAATTTTTTTTTTCTATTACATAAATAATAATTATAAATAAATTGATAATGACTCAATTGTAGCTTTGAGTGGAGCATAGTCTCTAGCATTTCCAGCTGATAATTTACCAATTTCGAATACATCCCAAGTATCTTTATTTTTATTTCTAATGACAGCACACATTAACACAGCTTTTGAAGTGGCTGCATATCTTAGTTCATAGTTGCAAAGTTCATCTTCAGGCCTATTACTATCATACAAATTAAAACTTGGATTAGGAAAACATCCAATATTAGGAGAATTCCATGACGATAATATAAAATATAATCTTGTAATGGTTGATGGTAAATCTGACAAGTTTGCTTTTATACAATGATGAGCTTTTATATCATTTGAGAAATATATATGTGTTAGAAATACACCAACGAGAACAATGTTGGATTTTTTTATGATTAATTAATTAGATTACCTGTTTGATTTGCGTTGTCCACTTTATCACCTGAATGAGACATATTTGGAATATCTGGATGTGTTTTTGAATTCCAATCGAATCTTTTAAAATATACGTTATCTTGATAAAGAAGACAAGTTCCATCCAAATAATCTACTTTGCCACCAGGAAATCCCCAATGCAAATCAAATGTTAAACTTTTGAGTGCTTGACCTTTGGAAATTGAATAAAGTAAAACTATCAATTGTATGTGACAGTTTTCAACAATTTTATATTCCGATAAATTATTCTCTGTGATATCATCTTCTTTATGAATCTATACATATATATATATAATATATGTATATAAATGGTATAATTAATATTTGGTGTATATAGTAAATTCATAAAACTATTGATTATTATATATATTCCTTTCTTCTTTTTACCTTTAATTCAACTCCATTATAAATTAATTTTTGCTTATTAACTGGCACATGTATTTCTGCTTTTACCGCTTGCTTGAGCTGAAGAACAGTTTTTGTTTTTTCCAAATTTACTCTAACTTTAAGCCCATTGATCATTACAACATAGAAATGTCCGCCGTGTTTTTTTGATTGATTGTTAGGTACGTTCAAAGCTGAAATACTATCGATATCAATCCTAAAAGGTGCTTTATCCCACGCCAATTTTAAATTTGCATTTTCTTTTTGATCGAGAGGTGATTTACACTCGGGACATTGTTTTGTTTTTAAATTACTATTACTTAAATAATTTATTACACATTTCAAACAAAAATTCGGAACATGTTGACATTTACTAGTTATCATATCATTAGGAAATTCTTTAGATAATTTGTTAATTTGACAATTTTTACACTTCATTGTTTTTGTCGTCGTCTATTATTTTCACCTTTTGCTTTTTGAAATGAATGGTTATGTTACTTTTTTTCTTTTATAACAATTTTTTCAATTGTGTAACATAAGGAAATGAAAATATTTATTTGAGAAAGCCCTCTTTTGCGTAACATATGTGCGCATCGAGTAATATTATTGGCCAATTGAGAACAAGTGTATAAGGTATATATTAGGGTGTAAGAGGTAAAAGAAAAATGTTAGAAGTTTGATTAAATTTAGATGTGGAGCTTTGTCAAGACAAGTAAAGTAAAGTACTTGGCTCACAATATGTGTTTTTTTTTGTGACAGTTACTATAAAAGACTTGAGAG